TCAAACTTTAGGGTCCCTTGAAATGAATCCTGAGGTTGATGAAAACAAAAAGGACTGTGTTTTTAATAAGTCACAGTCTCTAAATAACTCAAAAAGACAAAGGAGAGACTAATAAATGGCTAAGTGACCTATCAGTTTAATAAAATGTACTTGGACCACTGGATGATATTTGTTATACTCACATTAAGATACAACCTTATCCAGGGTGTTCTAATGCATACTTATGGTATAATATACAAATATTCCCTTAATTCAAAAGAAAGCTGAAAATGATGGCACAAAACTTGTACATGAATGTTCACAGTAGCATTATTCATAACAGTCAAAAAGTGGAAACAACCCAAATGTGTGGCTGATGAATGAATAAACAAAACACAGTTTATCCACGTAATGGAATATTATTTGGCAATAAAATGGAATAAAATCCAGAAAATACGGCCGGGCGCGGTGGCTCAAGCCTGTAATCCCAGCACTTTGGGAGGCCAAGGCGGGTGGATCACGAGGTCAAGAGAGCGAGACCATCCTGGTCAACAAGGTGAAACCTCATCTCTACTAAAAATACAAAAATTAGCTGGGCATGGTGGCACATGCCTGTAGTCCCAGCTACTCGCACGGAGGCTGAGGCCGGAGAATTGCTCGAACCCAGGAGGCAGAAGTTGCGGTGAGCCGAGATCGTGCCATTGCACTCCAGTCTGGGCAACAATAGCGAAACTCCGAATCAAAAAAAAAAAAAAAAAAAAAAAAACCAGAGGAAAAAAAGGTTAGTAGTTACTTTGGTCTAGCAGGGCAGGATGGGGAGAGTGAGGAGGAATAAGGAATGGCTCAAATGGGTATGGAGTTTCTTTTGGGGTGATAGAACTATTAAAACATTAGGCTGTGCTGACAGCTGAAGTATTCTGTAAACATAGTCATGCGCTGCAAAACATTTGAGTCAACAATGAACCACATACATGATGGTGGTCCCATAAGATTTTAACGGAACTTAAATATTCCTGTCTCTTAGCGATGTTGTAGCTGTTGCAGCATCATAATAGTGCAATGCATTACTCATGTGTTTGTGGTAATGCTGGTGTGAACAAACCTGGTATAAACAAACCTACTACATTGACAGTCACATAAAAGTTTAGCATACACAATAATGTACGGTACATAATACTTGATAGATGACAATATTACTGGTTTATGTATTTATTAAACTTTTTGTCATTATTTTAGAAAGTATTTCTACTTATTTTTTTTAAAAAAGTTAAACTATAGCTGGATGCGGTGGCTCATGCCTGTAATCCTAGCACTTTGGAAGGCTAAGGTGGGCAGATCACTTGAGGTCAGGAGTTTGAGAGCAGTTTGGCCAAACATTTGAGACCAGTTTGAAACCTCGTCTCTACCAAAAATTGAAAAACTAGCCGGAAATTGCTTGAATCCAGGAGGTGGAAGTTTCAGTGAGCCAAGATGGTGCCACTGCACTCCAGCCTGGGAGACAGAGCGGGACTCAATCTCAAAAAAAAAAAAAAAAAAGTTAACTATAAACAGCCTGAGGCAGCTCCTACAGGATGTATTCTAGAAGGCACTGTTATCAGTGGAGATGACAGCTCCATGTGTGTTATTGCCTCTGAAGACTTTCCAGAGAGACAAGACGTGGTGATAGAAGACAGTAATGCTGACTATCCTAACCCTGTGTAGACCTAAGTTAATGTGTGTGTTTGTGTCTTAGAGACAGGGCCTTGCTTTGTCACCCAGGCAGGAGTATGGTGGCCTGATCAGGACTCACTGCAACCCTGAACTCCTCAACTCAAGTGATCCTACTGCCTGAGTCTCCCAAAGTGTTTGGATTACAGGTGTGAGTCATTGCACCTGTCCTAAACAATTTTAAAAATGGAAAAAGCTTATAGAATAAGGACATAAAGAAAAGACTTTTGTATAGCTGTATAATGGGGTGTGTGTGTGTGTGTTTTAAGAGATGGGGTCTTGCTCTGTCACCCCGGCTGCAGTGCAGTGGTGTGATTATAGCTTACTGCGGCCTCACACTTCTGGGCTCAAGTGATCGTCCCACCTCAGCCTCCTGAATGGCTGGGATCTCAGGCACACAGTACCATGCTCACAGTTAATTTCTAATTTTTCTGTAGAGACAGGGTCTTGCTATATTGCCCAGGCTGGTCTTGAACTCCAGGCTTCAAGCAATCCTGGGGCCTCGCTATGTAGCCCAGGCAGGAGTGTGGTGACCTGATCATGGCTTATTGCAACCCTGAACTCCCAGCTCAACTGATTCTCCCACCTTGGCCTCCCAAAGTGCTGAGATTATAAACATGAGCCACCACGCCCCAGCCTTGCGTTTTAAGCTAAGTGCTATTACAAAAGAGTCGAAAAGTTAAAAAAAATTTTTTTAAGTTTATAAAGTAAAAAAGTTATAGTAAGCTAAGGTTAATTTATTATCAAAGAAAAATATTTTATTTTTATTGTTTTGAGACTGAGTTTTGCTCTTGTTGCCTACGCTGGAGTGCAATGGCATGACCTTGACTCACTGCAACCTCGGTCTCCTGGGTTCAGGCGATTCTCCTGCCTCAGCCTCCCGAGTAGCCAGGATTACAGGCACGTGCCACCACGCCCAGCTAATTTTTGGTATTTTTAGTAGTGATGGGGTTTCACCATGTTGGCCAGGCTGGTCTTGATCTCCTGACCTCATGATCCACCTGCCTCAGCCTCCCAAAGTGCTGAGACTACAGGTGTGAGTGACTGCGTCCGGCCAAAGAAAAATATTTTAATAAATTTAGTGTAGCCTAAGTGTACAGTGTTTATAAAGTTTACAGTAGTGTACAGCCTTTCACATTCACTCACCGCTCACTGACTCACCCACTGAGCAACTTCCAGTCCTATAAGCTGCATTCATGGTAAGTATTCTATACAGGTGTACATTATTATTATTATTATTATTATTATTTTCTTTGAGACAGGGTTTCACTCTGTCACTCAGGACAGTGATGGAGTGGTGTGATCATGGCTCACTTCAGCCTTGATCTCCCTTAACCGAGGGCTTAAGTTATCCTCCTGCCTCAGTCTCCTGAGTTGCTAGGTCTACAGGCACGCACCACCACACCTAGCTAATTTTTTAATTTGTTTGCAGAGATGGAATCTCAACATGTTGCCCAGGCTAGGTGTACTATTTTTAAAAATGTATTATACTGTTTTAGCTTTGTTTTTTATTAAAAGAGAAAACATCTCACTTTGTTGTCCAGGCTGAATGCAGCAGCTATTCATTCACAGGCATGATCCCACTAGTGATGAGAATACAAGTTCTGACCTTTGGTTTCCAACCTAGGCTGGTTCACCCTTCCTTAGGCAAACTGGTGGCCTCTGCTCCTATAAGGTCACCATATTGATGCTAAACTTAGTACTGATACCTAATTGGCATTGCACACTACAGGTCAGAACTCCTGGGCTCAACCAATCCTCCCACCCCACAGCCTCCTGAGTAGCTGGGACTATAGGTGCCCACCACCATACCCAGCTATATTGTATCTTTACCTTTTCTATGTTTTGATGCACTAATACTTACTGTTGTGTTCCAACTGCCTCTAGAATTCAGTACAGTAACATGCTGTACAGGTTTGTAGCCTACAAGCAATCAGCTATACCATAGAGCTTAGGTGTGTAGTAGGCTATACCATCTAGGTTTGTGTAAGGACACACTATGTCTGCTCAGATGTACTTTATATAGTAGGAAAGAAAACGAAAACAAACAAAAAAGAACACACTATGATGTTCACACAACAAAATCACCTAATGTTGAATTTCTTAGAACATATCCCCAGAGTTAAGCAACGGATGACTGTATTGAAAACCCACTGACTTGTACACTTCAAGTGGGTGAATTTTATTGTATGTGGGAAATATCTCAATAAACCTGCTTTTAAAAATGGGTGATGTCTAGAGTTGAGCAAAAATCAAATGTAGAGGTGTAAAAAGACTTCAGGTTCAAGTCAAACCCTTGATATAGAGACTTCATTCACAAAGAGGAGATCTATGGCTACGGAAGCTGGGTTTCTTCACTAAAGACACAGGCACCTCTTACCTCTAACCTGAAGAACAAAGGAAACTTGTCCTATCCTTCTGGCTTTGTTCTTACAAAAGAACTGGCAGAAAATCTAATTCATCAATGCTCTGAATAAAAAACTTGATCATTGGGACATTGCTGCCATGTAATTCAAGAAAAAATACTTCATAAATTCAATTCTGTTTAAATTCAAGTGACACCAGAATTTGTATTTATGTTGCACAGTTTCTAATAACAAGATATTATATTTTGACTTAAAAGTAAAGTACTTGGGTTATTTAAATACCATGAATAATTATTTGAAAAAATATTCCTTTTATTTAACCACTCATGCCAAGAAGTCAGGATACAATTAGATTTAAAATGAGTAGATTAGATGAAGGCAAATGCATTAAATACAAAAACATTTAACAAAGCTGTATATTTAAACATATAAAAATCCACAAAATGAAAGATTAATGTAGCTATAAAAACTAAGTAATCCAGGTCAGGCGCTGTGGCTCATGCCTGTAATCCCAGCACTTTGGGAGGCTGAGGCAGATGATCACCTGAGGTTGGGAGTTCGAGACCAGCCTGACCAACATGGAGAAACCCCTTCTCTACTAAAAATACAAAATTAGCCAGGAGTGATGGCGCATGTCTGTAATCCCAACTACTCCAGAGGTTGAGGCAGGAGAATTGCTTGAACCCAGGAGGCAGAGGTTGCGGTGAGCCGAGATCACGCCATTGCACTCCAGCCTGAGCAACAAGAGCGAAACTCTGTCTCAAACAAACAAAAACCTAAGTAACCCTCAGAACATGTAAATAATTGGCTAAATGTAATAACCAAATCAGCAATCCAAATTCAGATAATGAACAGCTGAATGCTTTTTATACAAAAAGCATTTAATTATAGGTTCTATGCCACTATTGTGCTACACTTGAAAAGATACCGAGAAATAATATTGACAGTTTTTTTAATTGGTTCATTCAATATGTATTTATTGGATACAATTTTATATAGGATTAGGAATTCTACACTTTTTTGCTTTCAAATTTGAAGAGATCCAAATATTCAGAAATTCACTAAACAAGTTAGCACACTTATTCCGATGGCATAATTTCTCACAGGGCCCATAAGCACCTCCATAATCATCGCACTAGTTATGTGGTTGCCATTCAGTCCTGTGTGGCTATTTGAGTAGAATCATTTTCTGATCTAACTACATTCTTATTATATTCATGAGGCAAAGTGCTCACTGGTTCCAGTAAAGGCCATCTTTCTCCGGTGCTGGCTTGATGTTAAGCTCCTTACCTCTTAATGAAAACAAGTTGTACCTGCTCCACATATCACATCACATAACCTGCTCAATCCTAAGTTGTACCTGACACCACAGTAATGTTAATGTGTTTATTATACATTGATCAAAATTTAGAGCATACACAGTGAAGAGTTTGTGCTACCGAACAGCTAAGAACCTTTTTTTTTTTAATTTAATCTTTTTTTTTTTTTTTTCAGACGGAGTTTCACTCTTGTTACCCAGGCTGGAGTGCAATGGTGCGATCTCGGCTCACCGCAACCTCTGCCTCCTGGGTTCAGGCAATTCTCCTGCCTCAGCCTCCTGAGTAGCTGGGATTACAGGCATGCGCCACCATGCCCAGCTGATTTTTTGTATTTTTAGTAGAGACGGGGTTTCACCATGTTGACCAGGATGGTCTCGATCTCTTGACCTCGTGATCCACCCGCCTTGGCCTCCCAAAGTGCTGGGATTACAGGCTTGAGCTATCACGCCCAGCAGCTAAGAACCTTAACATTGCTGAGTAGTGATTATATGCACTTAACATGTATTATTACTTAAAATTCTCACAACCCCCTATAAGTAGATATCATTTATTATTCTCATTTTATAAATGAAGGAACTGAGAAAGAGAAGTTACATAACTTAAGATTAAACTGCCAGTAAATGGCAAAGGCAGCATTGGATCTGGGTAGCCTGATCTCCATGTCCTGTGTTCTTAACCACTTTGCTACAGTTATCTCCCCATGGTCCCTGACGTAAAAAAGTTCACAGACTAGAGATACACATACCATTATAATATGATAGTGCTATAACAGAAGAATGAAGGAGTACAGAAAAGCTAGGGAAATTGACAAAGCCTTTCAATAATGAAGAAACAGCATTCAATGTTTCAAACATTACAGGTACAAATCTCCCAAGAAATATGACTTAAGTTTGCTTTAAGAATTAAAACGGGCCAAGCATGGTGGCTCACACCTGTAATCCCAGCACTTTGGGAGGCCAAGGCGGGTGGATCACCTGAGGTCAGTTAGAGATCACCCTGACCAATACAGCAAAACCCTGTCTCTATTAAAAATACAAAAAATTAGCCAAGCATGGTGGTGTGTGCCTGTAATCCCAGCTACTTGGGAGGCCGAGGCAGGAGAATTGCTTGAACCCAGGAGGCGGAGGTGGCAGTGAGCCCAGATCATGTCATTGCACTCCAGCCTGGGTGACAGTGCAAGGATCTGTCTCAAAAAAAAAAAAAAAAAAAAAAAAAAAAAGAATTAAAATATTAAAATGAAGAGAGACATATAATAATATTGGATCTAAATCCATTTTCCAAATTCTAGGCCTAAGTTTGGACTTTGCTTATAACTGTTCATTACTTTTTAGACAACATTCTTTTACTAAGTTTCTAATATAATGGCTTTTGTTTTCCTTTTAGTTTATAACATTTATTTAGTTTTTGTCAATGTCTGTCAATATAATTTACAATTTTTTCCCACAAAAATTTTATGAAATTTTTGGCAGATTAAAACTTAATGTATTTTATAGTCATTCTTACTGCTTTTGGGAAAATGATCTTTCTGAAACATTATTTTCTAATTGTTTCTGGTGCAAAAAATACAACAGTCTTTTGTTTGTTTTTTTGAGACAGGGTCTCACTGTCACCTAGGCTGGAGTACAGTGGCACAACTGTAGCTCACTGCAGCCTTGACCTTCAAAGCAATCCTCCTGCCTCAGCCTCCCAAGTAGCTGGGTCTACATGTCACCACACCTGGCTAATTTTTTTTTTTTGTACAGATGGGGTCTTGCTATGTTGCCCAGGCTGGTCTCCTGGGCTCAAGTGAGCTACCCACCTCAGCCTCTCAAAGTGTTAGGATTATAGGCGTGAGCCACTCTGCCTGGCTAATATTTTTCATTTAATGGCAGAATTTTTCAGAAACATGTTAAAGTTCAGAGTACATCTAACTAACTTTTTTTTTTTTGTACAGATGGGGTCTCACTATGCTCCCCGAGCTTGTTCAAACTTCTGGGCTCAAGAAATATACCAGCCTCAGTCTTTCTAAGTGCTGGGATTACAGGTGTGAACCACCAGGCCCTGGATTATTTACGTCTTTAAGTACTTTTTCTGGCCTGTACCCAACTCCTTTCCTTTTGGAACTCTAATTACATGTATGTCAGAGTGCTTGATATTACCCCACTGAGGTTCTATTAATGTTGCTTTTAATATTTTTCTCTCAGTACTTAATTTTGGACAGTTTCTGTCTATAGTTTCTATTGCTTATAGAAAGTATAATATCATATCACATTACAGTCTTATATGAAACATCAAACTAGAAAAAAAAACTCTTGACTTTTCTATATCTTCTGTTTTTAATCAGGGAGAAAATGGAACATTTAAACTCCAAGGCAACTTCTAAAAAGTTAAACAGGGTACTGTAGAGTTCACTTCACCAAAAATTATTTCCTTTTTTTTTTTTGAGGTTAGTAATTTGGTAAAATGTGACACTATGAGTTGTGGCAGGTAATCAAATAAATTAGTAATTCATATTTACCTTAAAACACACAAAAAGGGGGAAAATGCCCATTAATAATTATGCTTAAGAATCTGTAGAAGATATACAAGTCCTAAAAGAGCAAAAAAAGTAAGTCTTTGTAGAATTTAGATAAAAATCACGTCTAGATCTGGCCCTTACCTATCTCTTTATTTATTTATTCATTGGATATTTACTAAGCATCTGTTATGCACTAGGCAATGTGGATATAGTAATGAATGAGCCAGGTGAGGTCCTGGCACTCACAGAGTTCACATCTAATGAACAACTTCATCTCTTGCTTTCTTCCACATGCTCCTGCCACACAGAAACAACTAGCAGGTCTTCAAATGCACCAAGTGACTTCACACTTCTGTTCCTGTGCATATTACTCCAATTACTTAAACAGGTCTATCACTCCTCCCCTCTTTTGTACTCCAGTACTGCTGATGTCCATCTGGCAGTTTTTTATGTGTTCTTCAAGACCCAGCTTCAAGTGTCTCTTCTGTGAAGCTTTTCCTGAAACCCCCACTCAGGCAGAGCTGACTATTCCTTCCATCATGTCAGCGATGCACCTCATATAAACTTCTTTTACACTGAACTACAGTTATCTGATTACCTGTGTGTCCCTCACTGGATAAGTATCTCACAGATGTTTTATCTTTGAGATCCTAGAATCTAACAGTGTCTGAGGCATAATATAAGCTCTAATTTTGAAACCACAGAAGCACATGATTGGCAACATGAACAAGTTTTAAAAGGGGATACGATGATAGATTTCTGATAGATCTCTTCAAATACACTAACTATTTGTGTGAGAGAAATTTGCTTTCTTTCTATGTTGCAACTAACATCATAAATAACAACGGTGGCTATAAATTAAGAGAAGTGGAGAGATAGGAGAATTCTATTGAGATGATTCTACTTGTCTGGCAATGGAAATGAGATCCCTACCATTGGAAATGTTGGAGAAGAAATGGTGTTGGAAGAGGAATAGACTTATGATGCTGGAGAGAGAGGAAATAAATATGGAAATAAGGCTGAAGGTCCCTTACAAGTCACCAGAAAACAGCAACCAGAATACATGGAAACGGAATATAACTCTTAAGAGAAAGGGTATTTCTTGGAATTGGGTAAAAAGGAGAAGAAAAGACACAAAGGCTTTCAGTATTAAGAGAAAGACAAAGAAGAAGGTTTACTCAAAATAGTCTAGGTATTACTGGTAAAAGAGAACTTCTCTTGAAACAACAGAAAAAGAAACGTGGACTGGGGATATGTGAAAAGAAGGCATTTTAGAAACAGTCACTAAGGTAAGGCTCAAATCAATGAGATACCCCAGATATGAAAATGTGTTTCATTTTCAAGGCCCATAGAACAGTTTCCAAATTTTAACATCCCTTTCTGTCCAGATTTTTTTTTTTTTTTTTTTTTGAGACAAGGTCACACTCTTTTGCCCAGCATGGAGTGCAGTGGTGTGATCTCAGCACACTGCAACCTCCACCTCCCAGGTTCAGGTGATTCTCCTGTCTCAGCCTCCCAAGTAGCTGGGACTGCAGGCATGGGCCACCATGCCTAGCTAATTTTTATATTTTTAGTAGAGATGGGGTTTCACCATGTTGGCCAGGCTGGTCTCGAACTCCTGACCTCAAGTGATCCACCCCCCTGCTTGGCCTCCCAAACTGTTGGGATAAAAGGTATGAGCCACCACACCTGCCCTATGTCCAGAAATTCTTAACATGTAACCCAATTCCCTCAGGCTTTAGACTAAGTATGTTTCCTTTTACTCTAAATGCTGCTTGAAAAGCTGGTTAATTTTTCTATTAGAATATTTACTAATTCAAGGCAAGTACTAATAGCATTGCTATCCCCATTTATAAGTAACAAACTTATAATAGAGAGGACTGTAAGATTAAAAATAAACATAAATATTATAAACAATGGTGCAATTCAAGATAGACACTAGCTGTTTATTTTGTATATCTTCTGTTGAAAGCAAAAATAATAGAATCCTTAATTCTTATAGTTGAAAAGAATATCTGATCTAAACTCCCACCTAATATCCAGCAGTATCTCATAACATTCTAGAATTAGTTGCAGAGCTCTGCCTGAACATTCCCACTGATAGAAAACTCTGTACTTTTTGAGGGTCCATTTAATTTTTGGACACTTGGAAAGTTCTTCCTCAAGAGTGTGGCAAAACAAACCAACCCAAAAACAAAAATCCAACCTGTCTCTCATTGTTCCTAACTCTGCCCTCTGGAATGTGACAAGGATCACTCACTGCCGAACTGCCCATGGTTTAGTCAAAGTAGATAAAATGGAATGTAACAACTATAATTGAAAGAAAGGAAGCCAGGCTCAGTGGCTCACACCTAAAGTTCTACCTACTCAGGAGGCTGAGGAAGGATTGCTTGAGTTCAAGAGTTCAATACCAGTCTGGGCAACATAGTGAGATTTCACCTCCCCCCATCTCTATAAAAAATATAAAAACTTAAAAAAGGAAAAATAGGTGAAGTATTAGGGACAACTAAGTCAACAGACACCTGTCCCCTGAATGTTTTAAGAACAATGGAACTAACCTCGTACGTCTTCCTTGATGCTAGGATTCTGTTCAAACCCAGGGGGTTTATAAAAATTGTACAATTCTATTCAGTATTTCTTCAGATGAAATATACACAATTAGGAGAAATAACATGTGATTCTATAGCCAAACAACAATCCATTAAAAAGACAAGTGACAGCTCAACCCTCTCTCCAGGAACATTTGTCGCTTATGCCTTTATCCTTCATGGATTTGAGTTGAATGACATTGGCTGCAAGTTGATAATTAGTTTTTCTTTCTTTTTCTTAAAAAAAAAAAAAAAGAGAGAGAGAAGAAAAGAAAAGCAGGAGGCCAGTGTTGGCCCCTTCCCCAGGAGAGACGCCAGCCTGAGTGGTTTGGGAATATATGCCTTGATCAGATTTGCACTATGACTCCTGAATGCATGCACCATCCCAGCAACACCTGCTCTTCTAACAGGCCACCTGGGACTGACAGAAAAAAGAACCATCAATTCCACTCTCCCCAGAGAGATTACCCAGTCCTAGTGCTAAATGTACAATTCAATGTCATGTCAAAAAGTAAAATTCCATCCACCAAAACCTAGCAATTACCAGAGGTCAATATTTAGAGGGCCTTAATAGTGAAAAATGGCATGGAATTTTATTTTTTCCCAAGTGAACTGCAATCCAGCTAAATATTCAGGAAAAGACCACTTACACCAAGGGAGAAAGATGGGAAAAAGTGAAATTCCTTAATCAAATGGCGTCATCAACATATTGCTAAAGCCTTGAATTTTGGTTTCTATTTCTTTTTTTTTTTGAGACGGAGTTTCACTCTTGTTACCCAGGCTGGAGTGCAATGGCGCGATCTCGGCTCACCACAACCTCCGCCTCCCGGGTTCAGGCAATTCTCCTGCCCCAGCCTCCTGAGTCGCTGGGATTACAGGCATGCACCACCATGCCCAGC